ATGAGGTCTCGCTGCCCAGGCGGGTCTCGAACCCGCGGGCTCAGGCATTCCACTCACCTTAGTCTCCCAAAGGCGCGGGATTACAGGCTGAGCCACTGAGCCCGGCTTATATACCACATTTTTAATCCAATCATGTGTTGATGGACATTGGTTGATTTCATATCTTTGCTGTTATGTATAGTGCTGTGATATGTGTATTTTAATTCTATAGACAAGACATTATTATTTTATACAGACAATATTTAGTTTTATCCACGTTTTTTTCTAGTTCCTTTGCGTTTCATTTTTTTTTTTTGCATCTCAAACTTTAATTTAGATCATTTTGTTTGTGCCTTAAAGAGGATTATTTAGAATCTCCTTTAGTGAGAATATGTTTGTGTTGAGCTCTCTTAGATTTTACCTGTCTAAAAATTTGCTTATTCATTCTTATCCATAAAGGATATTTTTGCATAATATGTGTTTGTAGGTTGGCACACTATATGTTATTTCTAGAAATTTTCTTTAACACATGGAAGGCATTATTTTACCTTCTTTTGACTTTGCTGATTTTAAGAAGTCAGTGGTATCTTTTCCCTCTTATGATTTTTCAGATTTTCTTTGTCTTTGATTTTATTTTAGATGTTACAGTATGATATGTTAAGGTATAGGCTTATTTTATAGCTTATTGAATCTGTAAATTAGTGTCTGTTATTATTGCTTTGCTGTTATTCTGATGTATTTTCCTTTTTGATAATTATTTATCTTAATTGTTTCTTATTCTGTCTTTTGTTCCTGATAGTTTTTAGTCAAAGTGCTTTGTTTTCTTGTAAGTCTTCTCTTTGACTTCATGCTAATTTTTTTTTTAATTTGAGAAAATTATTTGTGGGAATAATTTAAGGCCTACCTGACGAAACTTAACATCTTCCTGGGAAGATTTACATTTCCTTTTTCCATGTACATGGTGGCTCTATCCATCTGCGACAACCTTAAGTTAGTTTCAAGGCTTAGGGCTCCCTGAACCACTCAAGTGATATGAATCTGAGTTGCACATATGCCTGTGGGTTGGTTTGCTTTTGCTTCCTCCTTGTATCGAGAATGTCTCAGGTTACTGTGCAAAAATTTACTTCTTAGACTCTCTACCTCCTGTTGTCTTTGGGTTTTCATATTTCCTTTATTTTATCATAATTTTATATAAAAAATCCAATTACGTCAGGGTCTATGAATGCCCTCTGGGCAAAAACAGGTTCTGTGGTTAGCTTACTTCTTTCTCTAGGTTTCTATATTCCCTTCACTTTTGACCTGGTAAATTCTTATTTTGTCAGAAGTTTAATGCTTTTAATATTTGATTCTGAATTTTTATTCCTTTTTAGAAGTATGTTTGTTTGAATGATATAGCACATTACCCCTTTGGAGTTTTCATTCTCAATTTTATGTATCATTTTTAATTTGGTTTATTGATACCTTCCTTAATTCTTTTAATTTTAAGAGAATATTATAATACTTATTTTTAATTCCATAGCCAGTAAATTTTAATAGCTGAAATCTTTGCAGATCTGAGTAGGCCTTTCGTTCGTTTTGTTGACTCTGTTCATGGTGCTTTGTTTCCTGCTCTTTTTTTTGATTATGGGGTCATGTAACTTTATCTGTGGAAATTATTTAAGGCCTGGATCAGAAGTTTACTTTTATGGAGAAAATTGACATGTTGCACCTTCTGTGATCCTAGGGAAACTTAAGCACTTCAAATTAAATTTTGGCTTAGAGCTCTTTTGACCATTCAGATAGTATGCGTTCAATTCCCATATATGCCTAGTTTGTGGTTATGATTTTAGGGGGGAGACATTGACTAGTAGACTAAGAAATACTATGATAATAGATACCACAATCATTAATTACCATTTCCCTCTCTCTCTAGATCTATTCTTTCTACTGTTTTTCTTCAGTGACCCTTTCATTATATGCCATTTTTTCAAAATGGAAGTAAAAAAAATCCTGGAACATCATTCTGTTGCTTAACATCCTTCATTGTTTTGCATGGTCTTCATGACTAATGAAGCATAAGACTAAACTAGTTCATATGAATCCTGTTATGATTTTGTCCTTATTATCTTTCCAATCATGTATGTGATGACTCATCCTTTATGCTTTAGGCCTCATACTACTAAAATACATTTCCGTAGAATGTGTCGTCTCATTTTTTCTACTTTTGCCTTTGTACATGCTCTTTTACTTGTCTGTGATCTTTTCTCTCCTAACTCCCATTACTTTTGCTAATTCTTACTATCTTTCAAATGTTTCAGCTCAGCTGTCACTCTCTGGAAGCCTTTCTTGAACTTTCTTTATCTATGCCTCCCCTTTCTACTAACCCTTAATGATGCTATTTGGTTAGGTGCCCCATTATGTAAACTCTCAGAACTTCTAATGAGTACCCATCAGCACTTACTGTGTTTGTCAGCCTGGCTTGTATATTGTAAATACCGTGAATATTAAGATCCAGTTTCTAGCATATATCACCATTATCATGCTCATAATAGTCACTAATATTTATTGATTATATACTAGACACTAGCATTTTAAGTTGCATTATCTTGTTTAATTCTAATAGCAACTCTATATAATATGGATTTTTTTTTTTATTCTAGTTTTACAAGTGAGGAAACTAGAGTCAGATTGGTTAAGTGTCATGCCCAAGAACAGGTTGCTAGTAAGAGGAAATAGTATAATTTGAATCTAGAAATATTATGAACTTCCTTTTACCCTAGTGTTCTAGCAACAAAAACAATTCATCAGCTCACTGAAGATAAAGGAGCTCAGGTTTTAAAATAATTACCTGGATGCAATGGTGCATGCCTGTAGTCCTAGCTACTTGGGAGGCTAAGATGGGAGTATTACTTGAGCTTAGAAGTTTGAGCCTGTGTAAGTTCAAACCTGGAGTGAACTATGATTGCTCCACTACACTCTAGCCTAAGTGACAGAGTGAGACGCCATCTCTAAAAAAAAAAAAAAAAAAAAATGTACACATATAAAACATAGACTAGTATTTGATTTGAGATTCAGTGTTTAGTAAACATTAACTCAAGTCAGGGAGTGGGGTCAGGGCTTTGTAAAAATAATTTAATAAATGTAATATTTTTATTTTGTTTTGTTTTGTTTTTCTTGCGTTAGAGTCTCACTCTGTCGCTCAGACTGGAGTGCAGTCGCCGCTCCCAGCCACCGCAGCCTCGACCTGCTGGGCTCCGGCGATCCTTCCGCCTCAGCCTTCCAAGTAGTCGGAATTACAGGCATGCACTACCATGCCCGGCTGATTTTTTTTATTTATTGTAGAGATGAGGTCTCGCTGCCCAGGCGGGTCTCGAACCCGCGGGCTCAGGCAGTCCATTCACCTCAGCCTCCCAAAGGCACGGGATTACAGGCTGAGCCACCGAGCCCAGCTAATAAATGTAATATTTTTAAAAATGAAAAATCAAGATAGACAACAATGAAAATAAAATCATGAGTAATTTCACCTTTATGAGATAAATTGCTTTTCATATTTAAGCATGCATTCTTTGCTTTTACATGCATTGTTTACATAAATACTGTTTTTAACCTGCTCTCCTTAGACTATAATATTTATGAATATCCAAATTAGTGATCAATAAATACAATTTTTACCATCATTTTCCGTGGCTAACATGATATATCATCCTATGTATGTACCACCGTAATTTATTCTGTCCACTTTTGTATATTTAGGTTGTTTTCAATGTTTTGCTATTATAAAAAATTTAGCTCTGAAAATTCTTAAATATTCATCTTTGAGTTCTTGGGAGAGAACAATCTTGAAAAGTCAATAAATATTAATGATGACCAATATTAGTGTTTCTGTATTTCCATATTTATTTCTCATTTTGGACTGTTATCTAATGAAGAAAAAAGAGTAATTGTTACAAATAACAATGTTCTTGGTATATATCTTCTACTAAGTATTTTCTCTTTTAGAATTACAGAATGAAAACTTAAAAGAATCAAATGAGAAGCAGGATTATTTGACTTCAGAACTAGAAGACATTAAAGTGTCCTTGGAAAGAAACATGGTATGATTTAAGAATTGATTAGTGTGTGATAAGGTTTGCACTATTAATCAGTCAACAAATATTTATTGAATACTAATTTCTTTTTTTTTGAGTTGGAGTCTCACTCCATTGCCTAGGCTGGAGTGCAGTGGGAGTGCCGTGGCACACTCATGGCCACGCCAGCATCGACCTGGTAGGCTTAAGTGATCCTTCTGTCTCAGCCATACAAGTAGCCAGAACTACTGGCGCGTGCTACTATATCCAGCTAATTTTTTGATTTATTGTAGAAATGAGGTCTCCCCAAGTTGCCCAGGCTGTTCTTGATCCTGTGAGCTCAGGCATTCCCCTCGCCTTGGCCTCCAAAAGTGCTGGGATTACCAGCTTGAGCCACCGTTCCTGGCTGAATACTAATTTCTGTATACAAGGACTTGGGACTTCAAATAGATGTGACACAATCCTAGTTTACAAAATTCTATAATTTAATTAGATATTGGATAAAAGCATATCAAAAGTATAACAAATACAAGGTAACAACTGAGTTCAGGCAATTTGCTATAATAGTTCTAAGAATTGAAAGAACACTGTAACTGGATTGGCTAGAAAGACTCCATGGAGTAGTTGGATATATCAGTGGAATTTGGAGAATGGTAGCTTGAAATAAGAGTACTGGGTTGTCATTTCAGGGTGAGGAGGAGAAAGGATGATGGTTAGGAAGATGTAGAGGGGAGAAGGGGTAGCAACTTTACAGAAGCAGATGAATTCATCTTTTTCCTATAAAGTCTTTGGATTATTGCTTTTGTTTTATACTATACTTTACTTCATTTAGAATACTCAGAAAGCTTTAGAGGAAGATTTACAGATAGCAACAAAAACAATTAATCAGCTCACTGAAGAAAAAGAAGCTCAAATGGATGAATTTAATAAAACTAAAGCTACTAATTCATTTGTGGTTACTGAACTTAATACTACTATCTGCACCTTGAAAGAATCATTGAGTACAGAACAGCAAAGGTAAAATATTTATTATTTTTAATAAATAAAATGTATAAAAACAATTTACTCCTAATATTGAGGGCCATTTCCTATTCATTATCAGCTTATGTGTAATTTCTATAACACCTGTAACCTAGTCTCTGTTTATAATGTATAAAGTAGGAATACACTTTAAATATTTGTATTGGGTAGGCAGGTATTTTAGGAAAAGATTTAAGAGCAGGTATTCTCTAAGACAGTTCTTATGCTTGCTTTGCCCTAGAGTCAAGCTATATAAACAAGTTCATAAGGGCTGATGCAGTGATATGACCTACTTAATTAAACCATAGATTATTATTAATTTCATAGAAACAACTACCAGGCTGTGGGGTTTGTTTTACTACAGTCTGTAACTTTCTTTCTGTTTTATTAATTTAGTAAATAGCCTTGTGTAGAGTAGGACTACTCTATTATTTAGTAAATTAATTAATAGATAATTATCAGTTTTATTAATATAGACTGTATCATTAATTTTATATCAATGATGTATTAAATTAATGGCTTAATGCATATGATTAACTATATATAAAATAAACTATTTTAATTTCATGTAAACAGCAGTGTATCCAAAACTTGAGTGTTGAAGACTCATTCTTTTTTTTTTTTACTACTTTATATGAATATTAAGGAAGTGTTAGGAGGTCTGGGTAATTATTTTATGCCTTATTGACATTTGAGTTATTTAAGTCTGGTAGAATAAACCAAACCTAATGGTTTCTCTCTTTTTTGTTTTCTCTCTGAAGTCATAGTTTAGGCCTAGCAGAATTTCTTCTCTACTGCTTGTGCCTGGTGAAGGAAAAGCTAACTTTTCTAGTTCCTTTAATCTAATATATTTTTTATTGTCCTCTCTAGGCAATTTTTGACTTTTAAAATTTTAAGTCACCTTAGATTCATCTGTCTCTATTACCTCAGTTTTCTACTTTGAGGAAACAGAAAGTCAGAGATGTTAAGTAAATTATACATTTTTCTCATGATTATGTTGTTCTCATAATTATATTGTTCCTAAGGCAGAATTCAGTATAATAGTTGTTACATATTCAATCTCTTTCAAAGTTCTAGGATGCATTAATTTAATTATCATCAATAGCTAAGAGACAGATTATAATGATAAACTTTAAGGTTTTATATAAATGCAGTGAATATACAATTTTGTCTTTATAATAGTAATATCTTATTTTAAAATGTTACATTATATGATACAAAGTAGGTACTCATAAATGTTTAATAGTTGAGTGGTTGGAACTATGCGAAGATATATCAGTTTGCTAAATTGCACCAATTTTAGTTATTAGATGAATTCTGACTAAAATGTTATTTTACATTGTAAAATAATATATTTTGCAAGACTGGAAAAAAATGAAGATGAATTGAAAATACTTACCATGGAGCTTCAAAAGAAATCAAGTGAACTGGGTAAGACTTAGAGAATAATGTGTACTTTGATATATTAGCTACTTAGGAAAACATAAATTCTACTTTAGAATAAAATATAATTTCTCCTCTGTTATGTGCCAGTAGTGATTATTTGATAATTTTTAGAGAATTTAAACCTTAAGAAAGAGACTATTCTGGACTGGGTCCAGTGGTTCATGCCTCTAATCCCAGTGCTTTGAGAGACTGAGGTGGGAGGGCCACTTGAAGCCAGGTGTTTGAGACCAGCCCAGGCAACAGAGCAAGATCCTGTCTCTACAGAGAATAAAATAATTAACTGGGTGTGATGGTACATGCCTGAGTTTCTAGTCACTCAGGAGACCAAGGCAGGAGGATCACTTGAGCCCAAGAGTTCAAGGCTGCAGTGAACTGTGATCACGCCACTGCACGCCAGCCTGTACTCCAGTAACAGAGCAAGACCTTGTCTCAAAAAAGAAAGACAAAGAAAGAAAGAGTATTCAGTTGTCTAGAAGTGTAAAAGGAGCCTAAGTGAAGTTTATATTCTATTTTCCTTATTTTAGGATTCAGAGACCTTAATAGTTCTTAGTGCAAAACATTTGTGTATTTTGAAATGACTTGTATGTCTTCCCACAACATCTAAGACAATGCTAAAAAGCACATCGTATTGTATCACAATTCTAGACTTCCTTATTCAAACTAACTTTTCATGGCGTTTTGCTCTATTATGAGAAAATCACATTGTGCAGTTGAATTTTTTTTTGAGTCAAAGTCTCACTCTGTCACCCAGGTTGGAGTGTAGTGGCACACTCCCAGCCACCACAGCCTTAACCTGCCGGGGTCAGGAGATCCCTCTGCCGCAGCCTTCCAAGTTACTGGAACTACAGGCACATGCCACCACCCCCAGCTAATTTTTTAAAAATTTTATTGTAGAGATGAGCTTTCATCAAGTTGCACAGGCTGATCTCGAACCCCTGGACTCAGGGCAGTCTTTTTGCCTTGGCCTCCCAAAGTGCTGGGATTATGAGCTTGAGCCACTGCGCCTGGCTGTGCAGTTGAATTTTTAATACAACAATTACTTTTGAAATGTCATTGCTTTTCCTATGTTGGATTATTAACTACTTATAGGAAAATGTGAACTTTTTTTCTTTTGAGTCACTGTGTCACCCAAGGAGGAGGACAGTGGCACGATTATGGCTACTGCAGCCTTGACCTACTGGACTCAGGAGATCCTTCTGCTTCAACTTTACAAATTTCAGGAAACACAGTTACAGCCACCACGCCTGGCTGATTTTTTTTATTTATTGCGGAGATGAGGTCTTGCCATGTTTACTAAACTGGTCTCAGACTCCTGAGCTGAGACCGTCCTTTGGCCTTGGGTTCTTAAAGTGCTGGGATTATAGATGGGAGCCACCACGCCTGGTCAGAAAAATGTGATCCTTTTATCATACAGTATTAATAGTCGTCAACTTTCATGGCCAAAGGAGAGAGTAATTCTTTATGGTAGCTAATTCTAATAATCTATATTTCATATTTATAAATCTTTATATCTACAGATGTGGAGAATAGCAAAAATACAAACATTTTCTAATTTCAGTGAGAATTATTTTAATAAATTAAAAAGTTTCTTAGCTTTATATAAGCTTTAGTAGCTATAAATACTTGTACAATTAAAATAATTGCCACTATTATGTTTAGTATTTGAAATGTGTACATAACATTTCACAAGTAGGCTATTTGGTTAAACTTCTGAACCATATTTATGCTTTTCTTTTTGTAATGCTTGAGTTTTTAATTCTAGTTTTTTTTTTTTGAGTTGGAGTCTCACTCGGTCGCCCAGACTGGAGTGCAGTGGCTGCTCCCGGCCACCGCAGCCTCGCCTGCTGAGCTCTGGCGATCCTTCTGCCTCAGCCTTCCGAGTAGCTGGAATTACAGGCATGTGCTACCACGCTCGGCTGATTTTGTGATTTATTGTAGAGAGGAGGTCTTGCTGCCCAGGCGGGTCTCGAACCCGCAGGCTCAGGCAATCCACTCACCTCAGCCTCCCAAAGGCGCGGAATTACAGGCTGAGCCACTGAGCCCGGCTTTATTATAGATTAACCCTTGGTCATACAAAATACTGCTGTCTAATGCAAATAATTTTACTTTTTTAGTATTATTTTATATTAGAATGATTGTGATATAAGCCATTCAATTTTTTATTCTTCCTTTAAAGGATAAAACAGTATTTTAAATAATTGCATATGTCTACTTTCTTTTTTTTTGAGTTGGTGTCTCACTCTGTCACCCAGATTACAGTGCAGTGGCATGCTCCTGGCCATCGCAGCCTAGACCTGCTGGCCTCTGGCGATCCTTCCACCTCAGCCTTCCTAGTAGCCAGAACTACAGGAGCATGCTGCCACGCCCGGCTAATTTTTGATTTATTGTCGAAATGAGGTCTCCCCAAGTTGCCCAGGTGGGTCTCGAACCCACAGGCTGAGGCGCAATCCACTTGTCTCGGCCTTCCAAAGTGCTGGGATTATAGGCTGAGCCATGGAACCTGGCCTATATATAGCTACTTTCTTTAGAATTGTTTAATTAAATGTTGTAGGCTAAGAAATAATTTTGGTTCCTAAAGTATCTTTAATGGATATTTATTTATAGCAATTTAGTCTAACATTGAAAATTAGTGGCTTGTATTTGGTATATTAAAAATTCGGTTGTACAGCATGACTTTCTCATAATAGAGCAATACATGATAAGTTTGAAAAGAGATTCTAGAAGTGTGAAACAGTATTTGTTTTTTCGCATTGTCTTAGGAATGAAATACCAAGCTTTTGAGAAGTTTCCAATTATTGTGGGAAAAACTTTGAATAAAACCATTAGAGTAATGGTATCCAAAAATAGGGATGAGCAAAAATTCCATTAGAATAAAGGGAAGAAAATATTAGAACTTATATTTTTATTTATCTTTAGTGTTTTATACATGTTTTATATTGAACTTATTATATTTTTGTGTTTTGTAAGTTTATATTTATAAACATTAATTTATAACATGAATTTATATGTTTATATAAATATAAATATTTGTGTTTTAAACATATATATATTTGAGGGTACCTGCTTATAGACTTTTTATTGATGAAGATGTGTTGATAGTGATACCAAGAGGAAGCCTATCAGATCAACGTGGACTACATAATTGGGAAAGCCTTTACAGCCGAGGTTGATTTTAAATGGTAGATTTTAATGTTATAGAGAGACTTTGGATAGTTGTAGAAGCTGATGGAAACATATATTAGGAGAGTGGCATTGCAGTGACATAGGTATCAACATAAGTTTACTTCTTTGTTTGGCTAATAGCATAGTTTTCAAAACCAGAAATCTTGCGGGATATTCTGAACTCTTCTTTTTCCCTGTGCTTCTCTTTTAATTGATTGTCTGGTGCTACTGTTTTTTTTTTTTTTTAACTCTTATTACCTAATTTATAAAATCTGACTAATTTAAGAATTCCTAAACCTTAAATATCTTCTTAATCTTTCCCTTTTTCTTTATTTCCATAAACCAAAAACAGTTCAAGACCTTATTTTATCTTTCTGGGTTTTTGAGTTTCAAGCACATTGTTTTAGTCCTGCAAAGGATGCATATGAAGAACATAATGGAACACAAATTGTATTTTTCAATTAATCATCAAACTGTGCTTCAGATTATGCTCATTTGTCCTCATCTTTACTCACCTTGTTTGCTGCAGTTAGCTAATCTTTTATTTGCCTTGCATTTCTTCCATAACCTTTTTTCTTATCCTAACGTCCCTCATTCCTTTTTTTTTAAGAGACAGCCTGTTGCTCAGGCTGGAGCGCAGTAGTGTGATCATGCCTCACTGTAACCTTGAACTCCTGGACTCAAGTGATCCTTTTGTCTCAACCTCCTGAGTACATAGGACTTTAGGTGCATGCCACTACATCCAGCTAATTTAAATTTTTTTTTAGAGATGGAGTCTCACTGTGTTGCTCAGGCTGGTACTCAACTCCCGGCCTCAAGTAATCCTCCTGCCTTGGCCTCCTAAAGTGCTGGGATTATAGACAAGAGCCAACATGCCTGGTAGACATCTCTCATTCTTATTGCTTTGTTTTCTTGCTACACTTTACATTCTGCATTGATGATATTTTCTTAGGTTTACACTTGTTAGTGTTTCTCTATTATTCCCTCGGCAGTCTCAAGCCTAAACTCACTTTTTACTCATGTATTGTTCAAATACAGTTTGTGGTACCCCTTATGTCTTGACTTTAATTCTGGACCAGATATCTCTGAACAGTTCTAATTGCAAAAACTTGAGAATCAATTTTTTTGTTCCTAGGACAACCACCTTTTGCTCATTATCTACATTGCTGTTAGAGTATTTCTTTAAAACACAAATCTGATTATTCTATGGTACAAATTTTAAAAAGCCATCTCATTGTCCAAGTTTCAAACTCTTCAGATATCAGCTGTCTTTTTGTTGCTTGTTTATAGAGTTAGGGTAGTGCATACCAAGTTAAAGTCAACTGTAATTAAAATCTTTGTCAAATAGTTTTTCCCCCAGTTTCTTTATTTACTACAATAGGTTTGCTGTTTTATGTGTCTTCCATCTCATATTCATTCTAATATTGCTCTAAACGGATCTTATTCTTGTGATCACTCTTCTGTATCTGCACCCATCTGTGCTTTCAATTTTGTTGCATAACTGGTTCTTCCTCTAGTGTGTTCTATTGCTTCTGCTTTGATTATAGATTTATAATATAATAGCTATTTGACTAAGAGTTAGATGTTTATTCTTCATTTAGCCTTAGACATGTAATGAAGATCATAACAGACATGGTCTTTGTTCTCATGAGATTTGCACTCTACTTGGGGAGACATATGAAACAATCACAAATAAGTATTTAATTACAAATTGAGATAAGTGCTATGATGAAATTAAAAATGATACAATATAAGAAAATAATAGGGCCTAATTTTAATTTGGTAGTCAGGGGTGGCCTTTAGCTGAAACCTAAAAAATAAAT